AAATAAATAAAATATTCTAAAAAATACATATGGAAGAAAGGGTAGTGATGTAATGAGTGACTACACTATAGGTAGTAACTACCTATAAGTATTTGTAAGTCAATGGACTACAGAGGGGTCTGTTACTCAGATCTTAGCTGTTGTCGAACTCTCTGCCTTCAGGCAGATAGGAACCCGGATGAGGCTATGCTGAAGAGCAGAGTCTCGTCTGGGGAGTTAAACAGACCTGAACCTGTTTATGCGGGGTTATGGGGAATTTTTGGCCAAGCCTATGGGCTCGGATTGTCCCACATTAAATTCGGCCTTGTGCCACATCCTACCTCATAGATAGGCTGGTAAATATTGTCTAGCTGGGATCTGTTGAGCATGACTTAGATTTATGTGAGAACTACCAACCTTCCAATAGTAGCACTCAATACTGGATTGACTTGTGCATAACTGTTATCGTTATTCTTATTGTACTGGTTTTTACAATAAACCTTAACCTATTTATCCACTGTGTTTTTCAAGTACATATTTCTATCAGCACGGATATAACAGGTACAATTAAAATTTTTGTGGAAAAAAAATGTGTATTTCTTAGTAATTACAGTGTACATGTACTGTACATATTACTGTCAGTAGATACCAAATATAAATAGAGAATGTTATAATTGAATTATTTTTTTATTTTTATTTTTAAGTAATTTTAAAATATTTTTCCAGCACAATTTACACATCAACAGATATTTCAAAAGCACAATAGAAGATTGCATGAAGCCCATTATATTAACAGCAATCATTCACTAGATAATTATGTGAATCTGCCAATAATTGCTTGTGCATCCAATTCATCCAACAATTCCTTTTCAATTAATAGTAATATGTATGATTACAAATTATCCACAGAGAATGAATTTCTTAACCTTGTCTTTATGATCTTTAACTTTGAAAATGTCCTCCCATATTGGACTTGTGTAACTGATTGTGTTCAGATGACTTTATAAAGTTCTTAATCCTAAAATAGTTGTCTGTGTTTGTTCCATTATTGCATTTTTATTTGATACTGAGGATGGGGTAGCACCATCAGGGGCACACTTGCCATTGGGTAAGCTGACACCCAGCACTGGTCATCTTCACTACAATGCTTGTCCAAGGTACAAATCAAAAAAATGTTTTATCACAGATGGGTTTCAATGAAGGGATTGACAACATTAATAACAAGACCGATTAATTGAATCTTGACTAATGCTAATTACTTTAAATAGACATATATATATATATATATATATATATATATATATATATATATATATATATATATAAATAGTCATTTTTTATGTTTATATGTTCTTTTTATAGATACAAATATTTAAGTAAACGTATAAACATAAAAAATGTCTTAAAATAATTGTTGGACTTTTGTCCATTTCATAATGTGTGACATATATATATATATATATATATATATATATATATATATATATATATATACACACAGCCATTTCTGTATTGAGCCCTCTTTTTGAATTGAATGTTACAAATGTTTGAATTGGATTTTATTCATTCTCATTTCACATGGAGGGATGTGTGTGTGTATATACACACACACATACACACACACGTATACAGTTGCTAATATCTAGTTATCTCATTTACCTAACCCTATATATATATATATATATATATATATATATATATATAAAAAACATACAGACAGGCAGAAGCCATTATAGCTTGGTAATGCTAATTGCCTTCCTATTATCAAATTAATATTGTTCAGAATATTATAGGTGAAAGTAAAGCAAACAATCAAGCTAAAACAATAAAGGATAGGTTTTTTTTTTTCTTTATTTCTTTCTTAGAAGATATTTCCAGTAAACAATTTAATGAATTTAACAAAATAGAACAAAACCTGCCATTAATGTTGGACAGATCAATAATAGAAAATCAAGTCTCTGGTTTAATAGGAAATTATAAAAAGGATGTTAAGATTAGACATGACAAAATGATAACAAAGAATTCTTAACCTGTTTTAGGCATGACATTTTATGAGGATAATTTCTAACTTTCTTGTCTTAATTTCTGGGATGAGGAGTTTCCATTATTTCCATTATTTAAATTAAGACTATTTTCCCTATCATTTCAGTTTTTGTGCCCTTCAGCCTTTACCAGGTGTTTGCTGATTTGGGCAACCTTCGGGGAATTTCAAATTGAACCCTTTATTTAATCTATAAGGATAGATTGTTATCATTTCAGTGTCCACAGTTGTCTTAGACAGTTGGTCACTTATTGCTTGTCCTGTTTCAAGTCTGAGTATACCTGTATTACCCAGTCCATGGATTGAACTCATAATTATTATGTCATAATTATTTGTTAATTATTCATTAATAATTATTTGTTAATTATTCATTAATAATTATTTGTTAATTATTCATTAGTTTTAATACTTTAGGATTGACAGACATCTGAAGATGAAAAGAGAGTACAATGGTTGGAATTTTATAATTGAGACAACAAAGATCAGGATATTGGACTGTCTATAAATAATTCCCTATATATATATATATATATATATATATATATATATATATATATATATATATATATATATAGTTGTAGAGTGGATAGTCCTTGTGCCTGATGAACTGGGAACACTACCCAGTAAAACTATAGTTGCATGCCAAAAATGTGGGTATGCATATATGTATTAATTTATATATATATATATATATACATATATATATATTTATTAGTTTTTAAGGTATGCTATAGTTATTGGTAAAAGTGCTCAATATTAAGGATAGAGCATATGCACAAATAAAAGTGGAAACTGAAGTCAACATCAAGCGGTGACAATCTGTTTCATGCTTGAACACAATCTTCAGGCCATGTCTTGTGTTTTAGCTTGACTAAATTCATGGTATTTGCTTATCTAAACTTTTTGAAGCTCAGTACTAGACTGGTGATGAGATCTCATCAATTTACAGTTGAACTGGCTAGATGTAACCATAAATTCTATACGAACAGTTTCTTCTCTTGCACTTCTCACTTGTGGAACTCACTTTCATGCTTTCTCACCAACTTTAATCTGCAAAAATTTAAATGCAATGTCGCTTTCTACTGTCCTCCTGATTACTTTTTCTTCTTCCCGATCATTATTAATGTTTCTGTTCCTAATTATTCCACACCATGTAATCAATTGTGTCTTAGTGGCTTTACTGCCTTGCATGGGGTGATACCGATGAAAAAAAATAAAAATAGAAAAAGACTATATGTGCTGGTCAATGGTGAATATTTATAGGTATTTTTTTTAAATATAGAGTATGATAAGTGGGCTTAAACTTTTTTAGGCTCACATTGCAATTCAGTAGGCATAAAAATGCCTAGTTTTTTTGTTTTTTTTTTTAAATTTAATCCTATCTGCTAGGATCAAATTAAGACCAGAGATCTTGGGTTTCATGACTTTACCAATGATATTAACATAAAATATAACAATGGTTACTTAGAAGAATTGTCGCAATATTATTATTATTATTATTTTTTTTTTTAAATCTAATTTCTGATTTTTGTATGTGCAGTTAGTGAAATGGTTAGCATCTTGGATAAAGAAATTGGAGGGCAAAGTTCAAATTCTGAGGAAATTCATTATATCCATTTTCACCTTGGGAAAAGTATGAATCCAACTCTGGATTAAATAGCAGGCTGGGCTTTCTAGCCATGGTTAGTAACCAGTCTAGGATAAGACCAGCTCTGAGTGCAAAATCATATCTAGACCTGGCAATATAAATACTATACAGTCATTAGAGGGATGATAGAGTTTACAATTAACTGGAGTCTAGAGTTGTGGATACTATGATATTGATTGATGTTAACTTGTACTGTCCTGATATTTTTCATTTTCATATCCTCTTGGTGTTAGTTTAAACTGACCCCTTTTTTTCTTTATATTATGATCATTTTGCTTAAAGTTCATATTTTCTTGATTTCAGATGAAAACTTGGAAATTTTCCAACATATATTCAGAAGGAATCAGTTTAAACTGATGCCAGGAAGATAGAGATTACTTGAAATGTACTGATTGATGTCAAACTTGATCTAAGGGGAATAACTCCTTTTTGTGCTTGTATATTGCTTTTCTCAGTGAATGCTTTGAAATGATACAAATAAAACGGTCATCATAAAAGAGTAAGTGTATTCTTTTTTTTTCTATTAATCAAAATTTCTTAACATGAAATAAAATGAAGTTGAAGTTCATTTTTTTGTGCATGTGCTATATTACTGATGAAATCTGATAGTTTTGGGCTAGTGCTTGCCACAATTAGCGTTGTGGAGATTTTGGAGATAACTTTTTGTGAAAACTATTTCATATAACACATGGACAAAAAAAAAAAAAAAACAAACCGATTTTGTCCCAGGACTTATCAAGTTTATTTTCTGGGAACTGTGTAGCGAAAAAAAACCATATTTTAAATCAATTATATATATATATATATATATATATATATATATATATATATATATATATATATATATATACACACACACACACACACACATATATATATATATGAAATGTTATGTTTATTTTATTTTGTCTATTTCTTTTCATTAAAAGAACAGATTTTTAAAAAATTTATCATTCAGGAATATTAATTTCTATCAAGTCCCAGATTAACCCATATACTTATGGTGTATGTTTAAAATGATGCTTTCTTTTTTTCCATATATTATAAGCATTTTACTTAAAGTTTGTATTTTCTTGATTTAAGATTTCACTTTATATGTACATCCACATGATATTTAAACCTATGCAAATTGAGTTTTCTTATTTTTCAATTTATTAAAGATTACAGAACTCTGTATGAAAAAGATTGGACATTTTTGATACAAAGACCTTGTGGAAAGGTAATATAAACACAGGTTTGTTTAAAAAATTCCAAAAAATAGACAGAAATAAAGAAAAACAACTATCAAGACCGAAAATCCGAAAATGTAGATACAACAATTGATATTTCCAGTCAGAAGAAAAGTAAGAACAGATACCAATTCGGTAAATCAATGGTTTGTTTGGAAGGGAAGGGGAGGGATGTTGTTTGGGTGGGAGTGGCTATTTCGAATAAAAAAAACCACCTCTGCTTACTCAGATAAGATATAAACAAATTCTTACCTTTGCAGAAGAATTTCAAGAATTTGGTTTGATGGCATTTCACTAAGAAAGGCCAAAAATCGCACAGAATCTGATCTGGGGTATTTTTCACCTGAGAGCGGATAAAACAAAAAAAAAAAAACGACAACTGAGACTTCATGGAAGTAAGGCCTGTTATGGTCAGGATAAATGAGGGTAAATAAAAGAGAGAGAGAGAGAGAGAGAGTGTAAAGAAGAAAGTTAACAAAAAGAATGAAAAAATAAGAAAGAAAGAAAAGAATGAAAAGAGTGGGTAAGTGAGGCTGATGTAATGAGCACAGTGCAAAGGAAAAATAAAAAGATTTAATAAAAAAAATGTAGTAAAGTGGTTTCTTCAAAAAGAAAAAAGGTAAAGTGTTTAGGAGAGAAAGACAGAGAGGAAGAAAGAAAGAAAGAAAAAACTGAGGGAAGATAGATATATATAGATAGATAGAAAGAGAAGAAATAAATAAAGGGAAAATGTTTAGGAGAGAAAAAGAAAAAGAGAGAGAGGAATAAAGAAAGTGAGAGAATAAAAAGAAATGATTGAAAAAATAAATAAATAAGAAAGAAATGAAGAAAGAATGGAAAAGTAAAGATAAATAACATTAAAAAGAAAAAAGAAAGAGAATTGGGGAGAGAGAATGATACAAAAAGTATAAGCAAGTAAAAGAAAAAAGATAAAAGAAAAAGAGAGAGAGAGAGAGAGAAAGTGATATTAACAGAGGGAGGGTGTGAAAGAGCAAGGATTTTTGAATCAACACTGTAGTTTTCTGTCAATTCCAAATCTTCTGTATCCATTTTAAAATGTATGTATACAATCTGATGAACAAAGATCAGAAATGGAAACATTCCTTATAAAAAACAAAAATAAAAACCTCTCAAGCTTTTGTTCTCACTGCAGTCAAATGGAGAATAACAGACGATCCTTGGTTTAATATGCAAAAATACAAAGAACTTAAAAAAAAAAAAAAAAGAAAAAAGAAAAAAAGAAACTATTCTTGAAACTGAACATAACATTAAGTGGAATAATACAAAGAGAAGGAAAGAAAATACAAAATAAAGTTTGTAAATAGTAAAGCATTTAATATTTCTATGTAAATATAACTCATCCAATAAAAAAAAAATAATATAAAAACTGTTAGACTAAAAATAAATTCAAAGTCAAATTTTAAATTATGTTAAAATGTAGGTACCACCATTGAATTTTCAATACCTAAGGTTTAAAATGAATTTTTAAAAATGAAAAAGCATTCTTGAAGCTTTAATTTTAGCTTAAATTGAAAACTAAATGATTAAATTAACTATTTCCAATAAGCAAAATACTCTGGTGTATTTCAAATAGAAATTATATTGATTTGAATTTTAACTTTTTGGTCGCTTTCACAAAATTGATCATTTTGATACATTTGTAAACAAAAGTTAATTCTTGCTTTACTATAGTATATTTTATTTTTGGAAAATTTTAAAATCTTCCAAAAATCAAATATACTTTTCTGAAACTTTATTTGAGGAATATTAGCTGATTTAAAGTATAATTAATCTGATTTAAAAAAATATTATTAACTTTAAGTTTAATATTAATTTAAAATTTTTTTTACTAAGATTTTCGGAAAAAAAAAAAAAAAAAAATCAAAAATAATTTCATTTGTGAATAAGTCCTGAAAGTTTCATTAAAATCTGACAATTGTTTTTCATCTGGAAAAAAAAAAAAGAAAAAAAAAAGGGGTGCAAAATACTAATTGTAAGTATTATGTTGACTGCTGACATTAAAAAAAAAAAACAAACAAAAAAACAAACAAACAAAAAAAACCAAGATTTTTAACCAAAATTTTGAATGTGCTAAAAAATTTAATCAAATATTAAAAAAAAAAAAAAAAAAAAAAAATACTTCGTTTTTTTTCCTCTTAATAACACAAACATTTTGATGACAAACTTTGTTTTTATTAAGTTTGAGGCTTTTTCATCATGCTATGTTGTTTTTTTCAGCAAGTGGAGGTACCTATTAAAATATATACCAGGATAATTTCTGTAACATCTCGCTTGTTTTTATCATATTTTTAATTGAAATAGACACACTAAAGTAAATTCTGTATAAAAAGATTTCCTATTTTTACAAATATATCAATTGTATTTTCTTGCATTGCTTCTTTTGTTATTTTATTATTCTTTTAGATTAGTCCTTTTCATTTAACTCATTTTTGCTAAAAAATTGTTTTTTTAAATCTGAAATTAAATTATCTAAAAATAAAGATTTAACAACAAAATGATAAAAATAAGACAACATGATTAGATATTACTTGACCTTATGCAAACAATTAATTTACAACTTTGGCCAGTTGTGCTCATTAAAACAGATAATGAAAATTGGGATACAAGGTTTGTAATGGTTTGTGTAAGTTGTTTACTAAAATTACTCAAATTCACAGAACCAGATCTTAAATTCCCTTGGCCGTCATGTTCATCACGAAAAGATTTATGGATGTTAAAAAAGAATAAGAGAGCTAGCTCTTAATTTCATACACAAAAAAAATTTTACCATGTAAAAGAAGAAAGAAGCAAGAACCCATCTCTAAAAAATTTGAATCTCATCACTGCAGATAATGTAAAGATATCTAAAGCATATCCCCCCCCCCAAAAAAAACCCCACAGTATCTTCATTATCACCATAATGAAGAAACCACTCAAAATGGAAAGTGGGGAGAGAGAGAGAGAGAGAAAAAAAAGGGTAACAAAATTAGGAAAATATTTTCCCTCTTCCTAGAGCCTAAACCTTTGAAAGCTTTCGATATCACATTTTATCTTTTAAAAATAAAGAATACAGTAAAACATCAACAAAATTGACAAATATTAAGGAGAATTAATTATGAAGGTTTTTCTGAAAAAGAAACTGATCAGGATCATATAACATATAATCAAGTACACTTCTGTATATTTTTATCACTTAAACATTATTTTTAGTGTATACCCATATTTGAATAGACACTCCATTTTTAAAACAGCATATTTAGATAAGCATATATTTTCTTTAATAAGATTTCTTGAATATTCAGGCTAGTAGACAATAATAAATATACTGTTTAAAAAAAAGAAAAAAAAAAAAGGAGCATCTACACAAATATGGGTATCCACCAAAAATAATGTTTAAAGTGATGAAATCCGTTGGATTAATAAATAAAAAAATCCATTACTTCTTTAAAAATGATTTCTTTAAGTTAGGAAAACTTTCACATAATAAAAAAGACTTGATTTTATTAATTAATGATTCTAATTCAATGTTATCTGGGATTAAAAGTTGCTGTGTTTCAGATAAAACTTTAATTATACATTAAACTTTTAATTCATTTAAGATATTACTTCATGATTTTAAAAAGACCATTATTAATATTGTTAAAGATTAAAAAGAATAACCAACAAAGTACTGCAACGAAAAAGCCTTAAAAGTACAAATTCATTTGTAGTTAATTAAAATAATGTCTAATAAAAATACAATGATCAAAACTTGTGTGGATATACTAAGTAAGAGTAGAAAACTATTATGAAGGAATATTTTTTTGTTTTGAGAGTAAAAAATGAATGAAGAAAAATAGCTGTAAATAAAAAAAATTACAAGATTAGAATATACAATCTGAAAATATATATAAATAAAAATTCCCTGAAACAGAAAGAAGTTGGACTGAGAGAGAGGGAATCCATTTAGATAAACAAATAGATTAAATATGCATTTGTGGACTTTGTATTGCTTGCTCTAAATAGAAAGACAATACTTATGAAAAGTTTCCATATTTACATTGAAGAAAACATAAAAATAATTATTTATTCATTCTACACTTTCATTTCTTAAAGATGTTAATGTATTCTTCTTTCATTTCATCTCACAAACTTGCAATATTTTTCTTTCTTTTTAACCAATAGACGTGACCTTTTGCAAAATATGAAACCGCAGTTGTTCCCCTTGAGGTATTAGAGGCTTTCAGAGTTATTACCCTTACCCCATACGTTTCCACTAACAAATATCGATGCTTTCACAGAAATTGGATTGGGTAGCTACAGGATTCAGAGGGCTTAGGTCTAAAATAGATCCTAGTAGAAAGACATTGTTGATCTTATTTCTTTCAGGGAAATATAATTTCAAATAATAGAAAACGTGAAAGATTATTAAAATTAGTCTGTGTTCACTTTTCAAACAGAAAAACAAATTTAAAAAAAAGTTATCAATAATGATTGAGCAAGTTTATTAATTAATATAGTTTATTCGGCAACACATGCGTCAATAATGTAACTTTGTATCTTTCATATATAGATATAGGCTTACAATATGTCCTGCTTTAGCCAGGTGAGTCGTAGTGTCCCATGAGAGATAAGCAATCTGTATTCATTTTTTACTATCAGCTTATGGTATGTCAGGTCATGGAAACCCTTTTACAGTATATATTATCCAAGTTATCGCTGATAAATTGTGATAGATATAAGTAATTAGATTGTTTGAAAAATCAAAAGGTGTGAAATAATTTTTTTCTTTTCTTAATTTGATGAAAAAAATGTCTGCCATCATTTTTAATTCATTCCAATTTTTTTTATTTTCCCTACTTTTTAACTTACATATTTAACCTTTCTGGGAATACTTTCTTTGATATATATATCTATCACTTCTTCATTTTTACGAAGGTGAACATTACAACAGATGACAGGATTATAAAAATAGGAACTCTTTTATACATTTTTTTTTTGGTAATAGACTGGTCTTTATTCAGAAAAAAGAAGAAGCCTAAAACATCTTAAAATTCTACTAAAAAAAAAAAAAAAAAAAAAAAAGGAAAAAGTAAAAGTGAAATTCAGAGTTAAAAGTTCATAATTATTTACTGCTTATAGCTTCACTATCATTGTTTTCACAATATAAATATAACAGTTTTTCTTTGAGGCTTCTTCAAATGCATGAAAGAATTTAAAAACAAAATTCACTGAGTGGATTGTACAGATTTTTTTAGATTTTGTAATAAATGAAATAAGAATGAATACACTAAAAAAAAAAAAGTTCAATTTTAAAATTTAAAATATTTCATCTGATTTTATTAAAATTTTAAAAAATTTCTTAAAAATTCTGAAAAAAAGGTTTATACCCATCAGCCCAGTTTTCTAACCACTGTGCTATTATTTGATATCTAAACATCATTATTCTTTTCAGTAATTTTTATTTATTTTTTAATAATACATGGCTAATTGCAAAATTTTGCTCTCGTTGTTTCGATATTTAACTTTCCTTCTCTAAGATGAATATATAATGAACCTAACCAACCCGATACAAGGATAGAACCTCAGATTCTGTGAACTCCCTTCTAATGTTCTAACTGCAGGGCCTAGATAAACATATTGATCAGAAACTTAATTAATCTTTTTAATCTACTATGGCAGGTTAAATGTAGACCTTGTAGTCAAAAGTTAGTGATCTAATTCATCTATGATTGGTAATTTATCAAAGGATTAAAATTTTGTTTTCTTTTTTTATCTCTCACCTCATACTCCATGCCAGAAAGTAACACAAATATTTTAGTGTTTAAATCCAATGAAATTACCGCAATTATTTTGTGGATTGTAAGAAGAAACCTTTACAGGTCAATTGTCTCTCCTCCACCTTCTTCCAATTTTGTTTGATCAATGAAAACATGTGAAAAAGCGTTGGTATTTCTAGAGGAACACAAAATTTAAGAAAAATATTTAAGAGAAAAAACAAAAACATAAAAACTCCAAGAAGTCATGATTTTTCTGGTTTGTTGATCTAAACATGAATTGTATAGCATGTC